CGAATATTTCTACTAATTAGTTACTCCTCTATGTGAGCCAATTTGCAAGATATATTTAAGACCTGCATATCTTTAATAATGCCTTACAAGTGGTGTGTTCCTGAATGTGCCGGAAACCACGCGAGAGCACCAAAGAAAATGTATATACGAGCCCTGTCCAGCTTCATTTGGTCCACACACAAAATTTGTAGTTTTTTGACTTTTATCGGCAAAAAACCCACTAGAATATAGGAGATATAAAAGATATCGTAAGATATAAGACAAAATATGCTATTTATAGCGATTTAGGGAATATATGGATTCAATAGAGTATGTTGTGTCATAAAAAATCGACAACTGTAAAAAAACTTCAATACCCAAATATTGCTAACGATGATTTGTCAAGACGGACGTGGTAACAATGCTTGTTTGTCATCGACGATCGCTTGTTTTAGCAAACCTTAATTTATCAGTCGGCCGTACCTCGTAGTTGCTGTAAAAATGGGCAGAGGAAAGGCGATAGATGAAAATATTCCACCAATTATCATTAGTTTGCATAAATCGGGAAAATTAAACGGTGAAATTGCAATATTGCTTGGGTTATCTAGATACAGTGTTCGAAATATTGTAAGATTATACGAATCAAATGGTTCAACTGTCCAAAAACCCAGATATGTAAAAAAATCTAAATTAACAGACCCTGATAGACGAGCTTTGGGCAGAATTATCAAGTCTAATAGACGTGCTAACTACAGAAAATTGAGTGTACTCTGGAGTGAAGCTGTTGGAAGACGTGTTTGCAGGTCTACGTGTCATTCAGAAGCAAGAAAACTAGGTTATGGTACTTACAAGGTCACTTTCACGAGTTCAATCCTAAGCCACAAGAGATAATTATTGTTTACCTTGGAGCAGGTTAAAGAAAAACCATTATTGACCCTAAAGCAGAAGCAAAACAGGTTAAAATGGGCTAAAAACAATCGAAATTGGGATATGGAGAGGTGGAATCGTGTGCACTGGAGTGACGAGTCACGATTCGAACTTTGCGTCGGTGATAGTCGGAGCAGACTTATTCGCCAAAAACATGAAACTTATCATCCTGATTGCCTCAAGCGCAAAGTTAAATTTCCATCTTCAGTAATGGTCTGGGCTTCAATGTCGGCAAGAGGAGTTGGCAAAGTACACTTTATCAATGGCATAGTTAACTCAGATAAATATTTAGACATCCTAGAGAAATTTTTACTTTGGAGCAGAGTAGGATATCTGGAAATGACTTCATCTTCCAGCAAGATGGTGCTGCCTGCCATACTTCCAAAAAAAACATGAAGTGGCTTTTAGCCCATGAAGTACCACTCCTAGAATGGGTTCCTAGTAGTCCTGACCTTTCACCCATCGAGACCTTATGGCACTTCATGAAAAAGAGGCTGCGAGCAAATCCTGCCAGGACTGTGCAAGAACTCAAGGAAAAACTGCAGAACATTTGGGATAATTTCACTCCAGATGAATGTCAGGACTTAATAATTACTTTGCCTCGACTAATTGAAGCTGTAATTAAAAATAAAGGTGATGTCACTCAGTGGTAAAATAAGTTCCGAATTCTTGTTGCTTAAAGATAAAAATCACAAATTTTGTTGTTTCCCCTTTTTTCGCTCTAATCAGCTCCAAGTGTTATAATTAGGCCCGTATCGTCAGTCGTCCCTACAATTGTAGGGCACGTTTATGGCCTCCTTGATTGTCATACTCCTTTCTCTCCTTCAAAAATTTCTAGATTGCACCCGTCCCGTGTCAGCGTCAGCGCTCTCCTATTGTGAAGATATGTTTTCTTTTTAAATTGTAGGAAATTTCAGGCTCATAAAACATGATATAACTCAAAAGCAAGCACAATTTGATGCAAATAGATATTTGTGACATAACCTCAAAATAGAGCGCTGACACGGAGAAGTAGAAAACTATGACAATCAAGGAGGCCATAAAGGCGCCCTACAATTGTAGGGACGACTGACGATACGGGCCTTAGTTGTTTGCAAAATAAAAATTAAGAATTATGCCTCTATTAGTTTAAATGATCGTCATCGATCAATAAATGCAAATTTACCAAGTGGGCCAACTGAAGCTGGACGGGGCTCGTATTTATTCCCAGTGAGCGAGCAAATTGTTTTTTCTAAGGACTGCGTCATTTGGAAATCTACCATTCATAACGAAAACACAGGTTTTTTATATACAGATGTCCCAGATTTGATTCTCTATAGAGGATCTCAGCTCCTGTTATACCTACAGCAAAGGTTTTAGAGGAAACTAAGTGCATTCAATAGCCGGCTTCAGATTTACGATCGGTCAACTGGTTTTGGAAATATCATCGAAAAACCGAAGTTTGTTTTTTTGCCACTAAATCCGAAACGGTTAATTTCACAGCAGTCAAAATGTAACATTATTCGGACATTTTTTTAAGGCAAATAAGATAGCGTGTTTGACATGCCTCAATCGTCTTTTGTGTTCCCGCAACCTGCCGCGACTTCCATTTTTCTTAGGGCCACCATATTATATTTTTCGATTATCGAAAAGAGCGTAAAATTTCCAACCTAGTGATGTCTCACAAATGCGTAAAATATTGGAGCATCATCGAAATATCATCACAGGTAATGTTATGTATTAATTTTTTTCTAAGGAGGCCATGATTTATATGTCAGAAAATAAAATTAAGAAGTAACGCTTTTTTTCATCTAAGGATGCTCTGACTGACGTTAAATAATTCAAAGCATTAAAATTGTGTTTTAATAAGTAGTAGGTACATTTTCTCTCATTAAAATCATAAATCTGACAAAAAAAGTTGTCAAAACCTGTTGAAAATGGCCGGTATTCCCTACTCAAATGAAGAAAAGTTTGACATGTTAGCGCTGTACTTGCAGTCGCACAGAAACGCCATTAGTAAGAACTATAGCACGAGAAATTGGTGTCAAAACCAACAGAACAGAGAGTGTTAAATAAGAATTAGCACCATCCATACAAACCTACAATAGTTCAAGCACTTAAGGACACCGATTTTCCAAGGCGAATGCGCTTCTGTGAGTGGTATACTAGGAAGTCTAATGAAAATCCCGATTTTGTAAATAATATCTTGTTGTGAGTTGTGGAGTTTTTAATAAGCACAAAACTCATCATTGGGCTGTGGAAAACCTTCACAGACTGGCAGAGAGACGTCAGAAAGATTTAGAACTAACGTTTGGTATGGGGGTCATTGGTAATTTAATCTAACTTACCTTTTTTAATTGGGCACCTATTTGAAACTAGGTATTAAGCATTTCAAGAAATCGACTTTAGGACCATTTTTGTTTGACTACAACCTAAACGGACAGAGGTGCCTAGAGATTTTGCGAAAGCAAGTTGTGCAGGCTTTTTTTTAAGCTGGTCTAACCTAAGATCAGTTTAGAAGAACCTGGTTTCAACAGGATGGATGTCCAGCTCACAGCTCCATTTAAGTCAGGAACTTCTTAAGAGCACTTTGATGAAAGAATAATTTTATTAAATGGTTCAATATCTTGGCCTCCTAGATCCCCTGACCTTTCACCCTTGGATTCATACCTCTGGGGTCACACACAGAATGAGGTCTATGAATTTGATCCTCCCAAAATCATGATCAGAAATCCTGAGACACAGAGTTTTGAGAACAGTTGGAAACATTAACAGAAATACACTAGCTAGGGTTGTATGAAAAACAGTCACCAATTGTCAAAAATGTCTGGATGCAAATGGATGTTATTTTACAAATCTGTAAATTAATACCCAATTACATAATTAGATTTTACGTAAAATTACAGTTTTGTAAAATGTTTGTTCAAGTGTAAAATAAATTTACGAGGATTTTTCTGACTTTTTTTAACACACTCATACATTTGACTTGTTGAGAAGTCGATATTAACATTATTATTCTATTGAAAATTCAAGGCGTTTATGTGTTTTTTATGCCTTACTCATTAATGTTAATTTCTGACAAATAAATCATGGCCTGCTTAAAAAAAAACGAATACATAACATTATGTGTGATGATATTTTGGTGATACTCCAATCTTTTATGATGTGATATTCTGTTGTAAGTGATAGTAATGGACTGAATAGTAAAGCAAGATGGCAGTTTTCTCCAGAAAATAAGCCCAGCATTGTTTTATGCATATCTATTGGACAAAAAAAATCGTTCAACACAAACCTAATGTTGGGCAAAAATAATTGTGACAATACTAAAGAATACTTTGATATTTTGCAGAAAGTTGTCTTTATATTCCAACGATACATTTAAATGATGTATTTCCATTGTTTCTACAGTTTGTTGAAATATAAAAATAACTCATGTATTTACTTGTGCTGATCTACATCAAGCTGGACACTTGGCCACTTACAGTATGAAACATTTGAATTTTAGGGGAACCTTGTAAGAAAATTTAAGGTAATAAATGGTCATTATAAATGCAGAAATTAAAAATCTTCGATCTATCAATTAACTTTGGGAACATAAATATAAGTTATGCAAGGAAAGGTGAGCCACACTATTAAGAAAAAACTTTTTACCAAACCGAGTGATCTACAAATGTAGTTAGCTAATTCAGCATGCAGTGAGTGCTTCATCTATAGTAAATACAGTTCAAAAACTGCCTTAACATATAAATGGATTGGTAACAAAACACATTTGTATACTACACAAAGTAATAAATGATCATTACTTTTATATGACCAGGATAGTTACATTTTACATTGTCTTTTCATTATTGCATATTCGATAATTATAAAACCTAGAAGTTCCTTCTAGCTGACTGGCTATTAAGCTCCTAGACGAGAGGAATTAGTTTTTCCAGAGTATTCTGTTTGAAATTCCAATTTTTTCTTACTTCAAATACCCTGCAAGCCCCACCTTAAGCAATTCCACTCATTTATATGATATTGTAATGCCCTCTTTGTCTTAGACACAATGTGTAAAGATATACTGAATTGATTATTCTATTTACTGTGAACTATCATGTGCTTTGCTCATTTACCTTCTTAGGTGGCATTCGCAGCCCCAACTTCTCACTATGATATGCTATACCATTAATTGGTAATCTAAACATAGATTTTTTCTGAACTTTTCCCTTATTAGCAGTGTATGTAATTTTCTTCTTGCTTGGTCTTTGGCGCCAAACAAGCCTCTTTTTGCGCGGTACTACTTCCTCTTCCTCCGGTACTTTCTGTTGCTGATTGTATACAAGCAAAGGGGCAACATTCTGAGCTTGAACATCGTGAGCCTGAACATCTTGAAGTTCAATTTGAATATTCTGTACTTCCTGTATTGTTTGTCCTGGAGACTGGGGTAGGGTTATAATCTGTATGGTATTTGCAGTGCTTGTCATTGGTTGTAAAGTTGAAAATTCTTGTACTACCCCATTCACCACTGGTATTGCCATATCTGATACAGATTCTATGTCTTCTCCCGAAGTCATCTTCCACGTCAGAAATTGTTCAGATAGATCCATTGTATCAGAGTATGGATAATGATTACTTCACAATACTGTACATTCAAAAATCAACAAGGGAATTCATAAATATAACGTGAATATCAGTAATCCATTATAACATTATATGAACTATGTATCAGCTACATAACCTCACTTCTTGTTCCCTGTTCCGCATCACAACACAGACAACTGTCAAGCATATGTCCATAGTCGTCCATGCAGGGCCAAGGGGGTCATATATCTAAGCAACCAAACAAATAAGTACTAATTATCATCCATTTACATATCTGCACCCCAGAGCCAGACTATATAGGTTAAGTCCATTTCTGTCGAAAATGAGTTCAATATGTTAAGCTTATGATAATATTGTTAATTTTCATTTGCTACATGCAGCATCCATCTATCTGTAATAATAAGGAAGTTACGACTTTTTAACTCATGTCAAGTCGCATACAATACAATGCAAGACAAATATTTCAAATACAATTATCTTAATACTACTTATTTGGACTTAAACTAGTCTGGCTCTGTGGTACAGATAAGAGCCCCTTCCCACTTCAGTTGGCCAAACTATTGAAATCTTAGTTTTTTTTCTTATCAAACACAAATAATAAAAATGTAGCAGGATGTTATAGGTTTAAAATATTAACAATGAATATTTTGATAATATATAGTAGAAAACACCAACTTTATCACTCCCTAATCACATTTGCAGCATAAAAATAACACATGTTGCAATTACAGCATATCAACCTATTTTCGTTTCAATGCAAAATAAGTCTATAACGCATAGGTGGCTGTGAAAAATAAGAGCAATGACAATTGTTTTTATTAATCACAGCTGTCAGAATACGTTTAAAATAGTTTTGGGTAGTTAAGGTTTTCAAAATGGGTAGAGGAAAGGTTATTAGTGAGAAAATTCGGTTACAGATAATTAATTTTTTTAATTCTGGGAAATCAAACTAAGAAATTGCAAGTTTGTTAGACTTATCGCGGTACAGTGTGAGAAATATTGTTAGAAAATATAACGTAACTGGTTCAGTTAATATTAAGCCACGATATGTGAAAAAATGTAATACCACAAATGCCGACCGAAGAGCATTAAGAATAATCGTGAAAAACAGGCCTGCCAATTATTTACAATTAAGTGCTCTGTGGAGTGACGCTGTTGGAAGGAGAATTTCGAGGTCCACAACTCATAGAGAGGCTCACAAACTGGGATTTAGCCCTTGCAAGGTAAGTTTTCTTATAAAAAAGTGAAGTAAAAACCCTAAAGTTGCACAACTTGTTTATAGGCCAAAGAAAAGCCACTATTAACTCCACTGCAAAAGAAAAATCGGCTTAGATGGGCTAAAGAACATGGTGTGCAATACAATGGAGTGTTGACGCCCGATTCGAAGTTTGTGTTGGTGACAGTCGCAGTAGAGTTATTCGCAAAAAAAATGAAGCATTCCATGTTTACTGTCTAAAGAGAAAAGTGAAATTTCCAGCATCCATTATGGTCTGGGGCAGTATGTCATCAAAAGGAGTAGGAAAACTTCATTTTATTGTTGGAAATGTGGATACAAACAAATATTTGGCAATTCTAGAAGAATCACTTTTACCAGTAATGGAAGAATGTTTGACATCCGGCCAAGATTTTGTGTTTCAGCAAGATGGTGCAGCGTGCCATACCTCAAAAAAGGCTATAAAATGGATGGAAGAAAATAATGTAACACTTTTGAAATGGGTTTCTAGCAGTCCTGATCTGTCACCTATTGAAACTTTGTGGCACGAGATGAAAAAGGTTCTACGACAACATCCTGCTCGTACAATCACCGAACTGAGTCAAAAGCTTCAAGAAATATGGGATTTCAGAATTTCAGCCGTAATAAAAAATAAAGGTGATGTTACCCAATGGTAATCTTTCAATTGTTGCTTTGTTAACTTCGCGCATTTATTCGCACATTGTTTATTTGTTCAGATGTTCTATTAGTTATAGGCTTTAGGTCTAAGTGATTTCAAATATGAATTTTTTACGACCAGAGTGTATCTAAAATGTTTTTAAGAAAATAAATTGTTTTAGAAGTAAATAGTTTCGACATTTTTAGTTCATAAAGGCATATTTTTGTACAAATCTTGAAGTGGGCCAACTGAAGTGGGAAGGGGCTCGTATAATATATATATATATATATATATATATATATATATATATATATATATATATATATATATATATATATATACAGGGTGACTTTGAAGTTGAGTCATTAATTTTCAGATAATCATTGTAGAAGGAAGATAAACCAAAATATGTGTGTAAAAATAAATAAAAAATTTAAAAAAAATGTTACCTTGTTTTATAAAGTATCCTCCCGACAAGTATTTCAGTGCGGACCTGTATTTGATCGTGAGGTCTTGGAGCACCGGCATGCCCTCCTCTGTGAGGTCTTAAGTCACCTGATTCACTTGTACTACATTAACAAAGGCACGAGGGGTTGGTTGCACTCGATTGGGAAACCGATCCGCATAAACATGTGCCATTTTTTATTTCGTCTGAGCCACGCAGCAAACACCACTAATCACTCACGCGTTACCGACTGACACATTGACTGAATAAAAACATCGTGATCAGCGTTTCAAATTCTTTCGCTTTTTTGTTTCCGATGCGATGAACCGATAAGGCGGATTATATCCGTTGTTGCCAAACACGAGCACATAATATTATTATTGAGACAGGGCGGTACTCAAACTTCTAAAGGGCTATAACTTTGTTACTTTAATTTTACCAGAAAAATGTTAAAGGAAAAAAAAAACATTTCTTTTGATCAGATCTACTCACTGTTAAAATAAATGACTCAACTTCGAAGTCCCTATATATATATATAAACCAGAAATAGATAATTAATCAAGCATTTCATCATTATGGCTTGAAACTAGTGCATCTGGAAGGGCTGTACAATTGAGTTCCCTAGTTTCAAAACCCGATCAAATTTTGATAAAATGCAAAATAAACATTAACAAAGTCACAATTTAAATAAATAAAATGGATTTGTCGAATTTTGCAACTCACTTAGAAGAATATCTATTGATTTACACTTGAATAAAAACAATCATGACGTATTACTTTGAAATTACTCTAATAAAGATGAATGTACAAAAGTGTTTTATAATACAAAAATAATAATTAGACCACTAAATTGGGAATTTCCTCAAGTGGTTCACGTAAGTTTCCATCTTCAACTTTACGTCGTTAAGTTTCGCCTTATTGAGCATAACACTATCATGTACGGCTGTATAATGATGTCTGTTCTTTTTTAAAAACGGACTTACACTCCCCAATATCGGTCTTATAAGATTGTTCTCCTCGAACTGTGACTACTTTGTTTCTACCTTTTCTAAGTGAAAACCTTTTACTCATATTAACCCTTAATTACTCGCATGAAGAACATTACATAACTGCTCGCATGGGGTCACAGGTGACCCCAAGTTGTAGGATATTTTTTTAATATACATTAAATATAAAATGAAATCAAACTATTTTATTATTAAAGTGCTTTATTTATATTATGATATTTAAAAGAAATAACATGGATATTTATCTAATGAAAAAAATTAAGCTTATATAAAATAATAGTTGAAAATTAACAATTTGTACTTATATCAAGAGATCAAGGCAAATTTTTATGATTATGTTAGGAACTATCCGAATCACTTTTCTTGCACTGTTGACAGTATATGTCTGAGTGATCATTGCACACAAATTTTGTGCACTTTTTGCATTTAGTCGATACTTTTCGATCACTTTTCCGCGGGCAGTTGTTGCAACGCCCACGTTTTGCAGTGGTTGGTGGGGCGCGGTTGTCCAAGTCATGCACTTCTATAAGTCGTTTCTTTATTACCTTAGGAGTTGAATGGACATCAAGCCGACGTTTCTGGTGATTATGGACAAGTTCAACGGACAATTGCCGCAAAAAATTACGCCTCATGTGAGCACGTGATTTAGTGGTATTTGCCCGATGTACAACGAGAGCATTTATGCCTGCAACGTTTATAAGATGGAAGAAAATGGCTAACGGCCATCGTTTGGTTCGCCTTCCTACGCTGTATGTACCACACAAATGATCATTGGTGTCCACTCCTCCTTTAGTGCTGTTGTAATACATAATTATTTCAGGCTTCTGCTGATCACCTGAATCTGGGTCGATGTGAGCTCCATGGTGCATGGAGGATAACAACACAACAGCTTGATTTGGTTTTTGCACATATGAAACCATGGTTAGTGTCTTTTGAAATCCGAACAGAGAGCTGAATTGACTTCTAGTTCTGTCTGGTAAAAACTCCTTAGGTATATCAGGTTTGTTTTTCTTCAGTGTTCCAACTAAGGTGAGCTTGTAAGGTGGATACAATAATTCAGTTGCAAGTTTCACGTTCGTATACCAATTGTCTGTGGTAATATTACGGTTACTACCTTTTATCGGCTCTACAAGACGTCTTACTATGTCATTAGGGCTGTTTGAGACCTGGTATGGACCCGCAGGCTGCTTTCCAGAATAAACCTCAAAAGCTAGCAAATAAAAAGTTTTTGAGTCAACCATAGCTTGGATTTTTATGCCGTATTTATTCGGCTTACTTGGCATGTAAACTTTGCCTTTGAAACGGCCACGGAACCCAATCAATTGCTCATCAATAGTAACATTTTCACCCGGCGAATAGGCTTCTTGAAATTTCGCTTGCAACATGTTACAGATCTCACGTATAGCTGCTAAGTTATCAATTTGCAAACGTTCAGCTCGAGTTGTTCTATCATCAAATCGAAGGCATCTTAGTAAAAACAGAAAACGTTGATAACTCATTGTCAGGCGAAACATCTCTACACCGGTTCCGTTGGTGGCCCAGAGATCTATGAAATTGAGATGTGAAGCTCTCAACACTCCAGACATGATCAACAAACCCAGCAATGCTTTCATTTCTTCAACGTCTGTATCTTTTGCGTCACGTTCCCTTTGAAACTTGCCTCTGACTACTTCGATGTACTGATTTGTACATGTTACCAGCAAATTGATAATGTCATCAGAAAAAAACAAACTAAAACATTCCAAAGCAGTCTTCGCGGATTTCGCTGATGACTTGACACCGGGTAAGTGTAAAATTATATTATGGCTTCGTGTTCTTGTGGAGCTTGTTGGTGGAGACTTTGACCATTTTTGTTTAGGACCGTTTCTGCCATTATGTCTGGTAAAA